TCAATTTCCGATGTTTGATGGAACCCACAATCAGTCCAAAAGTCATAATGAATTAAGTTAACAAATTATGTCAGTAAATTAGGTCTTAATAGTATTGCGCAAGTTTATATAGGTGCAGAAAAATAGTGTAAAAAGTGGCACCCATTTCATTTGCATTAGTTCCCTCAAGATCCAAAAACCAGCATCTATTGAAGAAGCTATATTTGACCTTTGGCAAGAAGCCTAATCTAAAGTCAACTTTATAAGTCAAAGACAAAATGATAATACAAGGAAATCAAAGTAATTTCCAGCCACGAAGGATATTTCATAAACTTCCAAAGAAAAATCTGTAGGTTTTTGGTGCATATTGTCTCAGTGATATTTCTTTGTCAGTTCACTGAACCACAGTCCATCACCATTTCAGTAAGCAAGAGGCAACTCAACTCTATCCAAAAGAAAATTACCAAAGAATCCCCTGGAAAGGATAATGATGCTGTGATGCAACACCATATTAACTACAGTCAGTTCTTATAAGATGGCAGTTCCTCAAAATATAAGGATATATAACAGCAAATATTAGTAAGATGATGGATGGCAATTAACAAACATAATTATAAAATGTAATGATGCTGTAAGTAAACATAATGATAGCAAATTTTCTTATCCCATCACCAATGGTAGCAGGTTTTTAATATGACAAATACACAATAAAAGTTTCACGAATACAGCAACTGAGAAGTTTTGGTAAAGTAACAGCAAGTTTTCTTACCCCATCACCAATGGCAAACAAACTGACAACTCCAGGGTTCCGAAAACATCGTCTCACTGAAAGTGCATATACATCAACAATGGCAAGCGAAAGGCTCCACAAACTTTGCAAGGCAACAGCAGCAACAAGGTAACTAATTACACAGAAGAGCACAAAAGTGTTAATAATTTGTTTCTTCTTCATTAGATGACAATGCACTAAAAAATCGTGAGAAATTTATGTTATTCTGCAAAGGAAAAGAAAAAGAAATCAAAGAGCAATATCAAAGTACCAATTATAAATTGGGCCAAAAGTTGCACACAGTGATACGAGAAAACATCAACTTGTGAAGTTGATGTAGAACAAGAATTACTAATTTCTCTATACTTTTTTATAATTTTATTAGGATAAAAGTTTTAGTTAAGAATATTTTAGAGTGATTTAGCTGCCTAATCATGTCAATTTTCCTAATTCATTAGACAAGTGTTTTCTTGTTTTAGGCAACTTTCTTAAAATTAGGGGTTAGGTCCGTTTTAAAAATCTTTAGGGCATGTTTGGTTGATAGGTTTAGGTGGGATTCATAGACCGGATTTTGTTAAAATAGTCCAATGCATCATCTCATTTCTTGTGTTGGTTGCAGATTTCAAGTCCGGGATTTGAATCCCCNGGCATGTTTGGTTGATAGGTTTAGGTGGGATTCATAGACTGGATTTTGTCAAAATAGTCCAATGCATCATCTTATTTCTTGTGTTGGTTGCAGATTTCAAGTCCGGGATTTGAATCCCGGACTATAATAGTCCCGCATTCAAAACCCATACATAAGGATTTCAATAAACCTATTGGGGGGGGGGGGGGTTTAGGCAATTTCATAGCAAATATTATCATTAATCCATTGGTATCATGTGTATTTGTGTCATTTATTAAACATGAGATTGGATATGATACATTGTTCAATCCCATGAACGAAACCTAAGGGTTGACTTTGGAAGGGTTTCATAAATTTAATCCAATCCCCATCTTAAAAGTCATCCAAACGGCCCCTTAGGGGTTTGGGGTGCTTATAAATTGCCCTATGTACTATAAGTTTTAATCAGTTAATCAAGTGAATATCATAATATTTTGAGAGTTTTCTCTTCCTTTTCTCTGTGGATTTAAAATGCTTTGTTCTTTGCATTTAGAAACGATGATCTCTTCGTGTCCTCTCGTTACCACTTCGTCAATTGGTATCAGAGCTTTGACTGATTTGGCATGATTTGTAATCAACAAAATAGTGACAACTTTCTTTGTAACGGTAATTAAAAGGGCTCTTCCTAGAGCCGNAATCAAGTGAATATCATAATATTTTGAGAGTTTTCTCTTCCTTTAAGCTGTGGATTTAAAATGCTTTGTTCTTTGCATTTAGAAACGATGATCTCTTCGTGTCCTCTCGTTACCACTTCGTCAATTGGTATCAGAGCTTTGACTGATCTGGCATGATTTATAATCAACAAAATAGTGACAACTTTCTTTGTAACGGTAATTAAAAGGGCTCTTCCTAGAGCCGAATTTTTGGATTTCCAACGACAACAACAACAATTTCAACAGTTCCAGCATTCTTTCCAAACGCTACCGGGTAGTTTCAGCAATCTTTGCAAACACTACAGTGTATGATTGCCCAATTGCTAGTGGATCTTACCCAGGATCCTAATCGAGAGTGGGTATGGAACGGCAATAGGACTCGTATTCAATCCGTTCGAAATCATTTTCTTGTCTATTCTGCAAGACTGAATGTTCATGGTGCATCTACCCGTGCAGCACCTATTGTAGATTCCAGTGATAGTTATGAATATGCTATGGGTATGTTTGATTCCTATGAAAGTTGACCTTCTTATTTTTTATGATTATCCTCATATATAATATTTTATTGATTGGCTATCGAAGGTGGAAAAGTTTTTTGATTATATTGGAATTTCAGACGAGGGGATGAAGGCATAGTTTGTGGCTTACAAATTGAAGGGTAAAGCTTTTTCATTGTGGAATAAAATGCAGCCTTCTATGACTACCGAAGGTTGTTGAATGGGAGATTATTCTACAAATTCTTCAGGTCATTGAAGATTCATATAAAGGTATGCTTGGAAGAATTAATCTAAAGTACAAAGTGGATGCAAACAAGCAAAGGAGTATCGAGCTATTTTAAGCAATAGAAACTCGAGAACGAGTTTATTTTAAGAGAGAGAGTCTGATGTAAAACAAGAATTACTAAGTTCTCTATTTTTATTTTTAACTTTATTAGGATGAGAGTTTAGTCAAGAATATTTTAGAGTGATTTAGCTGCCTAATCATGTAAATTTTCCTAATTTATTAGACATGTGTTTTCTTGTTTTAGCAAACTTTTGTATAATTAGGAATCAAGTCTGTTTTGGAAACCTTTAGGGGTTTGGGGTGCTTATAAATTTTTCTATGCACAAGTTTTGTTCAATAATCAAGTGCATATCACAATATTTTGAGAGTTTTCTCTTCATTTTCTCTGTAGATTCAAAGTGTTTTGTTCTTTACACTTAAAAATGGTAATCTCTTCATATCCTCTTGTTACCGCTGCGTCAGAAGTGATCCCTTTTTTTTTTTTGGCTGAAACTTGACTAGTAGTCCAAGGAAACTCATCAAGTATACAAAACATTTACAGATGAATAGAATTTGAAATTCCCAAACATGGTACACTTACTTTCTGGACCACAATATTTAACAAATCAAATGCTTCTTCTAAGTTGAACCCAACGTCTGACAAGATTTTTATAGAACATCTTTGCTGCTAGTTCAAATTAGGTTATACAAGAAACAACAAACAATGATATAAGTTCTTGAAGAGCACCATTAATATGAACCGGGTATCTCCATATAACCAATGAGCTAAAATCAAATAAGAACGATCTACAAGTCACTGAGTTTGCAGATAGATGGACTTCGCTGAATAAAGTGATTAGGGGCTACAATCGAAACTTGAAATAGAAAGAGAAACACCCTTAAAACTACATTTTTCTTATGATATAGACAGCTTGACCACAACCAGATTAAAATACGTTGCGTATACAGAACCCTTTAACAGAAATATTACTTTGAGAAAGAAAGATAAGTAGTGCCTTAAGGGCCCTTTACTTTTGAATTTCTACTGAATTCATTAAATTTTCGACAATTTATTAACTAAGCCTACTTTTATAAGCTTGCTATTAGGTTACTCTTTCCTACAAAGAAAGTCGACAGTGGTAATAGAGCCCATGATGTGGCACTAGCTAAATGGCATCTAAAGCATGCACTGAATAGGTGGCTCATGGAACAGAATTGATATCTCCTAGTACATTTCAGAAAGTCACAACTGTCTGAAGAAAGATTCACCGTCATATCTGGTATTGAGCACTAAAGGTACTACCACTCCACCCTCACTCAATATGTGTGTCACTAGATGACACTAATACAACAGAAGATTCATATGTTTTCCAAATACCAATGTCATTCAAAACAATGAAAAATGCCAATACTAACTAAACTAGTGTTAGCAATATTTTCAATTTAATCAGTTAACACCAAAATTCTATGATCCTTCTGCGAGCAAAAAGAAAAGGACTACGGAATATGCACTTATTGGCCAGACCAAATTAATACATGTGCTCTTGGAAACATAGTTCTTGCTTAAACTACTTCATTCCCCATCAAACAAAAAAAAAAAAACACGTAGTTCTTGCTTAACTACTTCATTCCCCATCAAAAAAAAAAAAAAAACACATAGTTCTTGCTTATTGATGCGAGTCAATTCCAAATTTTTACAACAAACTGCAGCAAGAAGAGCTTTGCGATTCAATTACACTTTTTTCCTTTTTCATAAGTTCTGCAACCCTATTCAACTTTTTTTTTTTTGTCGAAAAGACTCAAAACTACTTTCTCTAAGTGAAGGTGTTTTACCAATGAACAAATAAATAATTCATAAAAATAATGGAGAATTGAAAACAATTAATTCATCCAACCCTAGCTAGATCCCTTGGTCTCTTGTTTTTATTTATGATAAAAGACACCACAGTATGTGTACTCCTTGGTTTGATTTCTCTGTATTCAAGGTCTAACAAAAATTGAAGGCTTAGAGGAAAATATAACCATTATAGAACATAATGGGAAAATAGGATTCATGTAACCGATACTAAATAATTGAAGTAAAGCCTTCGTTAATTTTAGTTATTAGGATAGAATTCCTTTTATAGTTTGCAGTTCTTTTCGGATTTGTGTCACACTCAGCTCCACTCATCTCTTAATTTTCCTTCATTTTCTCTGTTCTTATTGTCCTTGCACTCAAATAAGAAATTACAGAGTTCCATCTCTCAAAAGCTTGATTAACTGGTGCAACACAAACACAAAAGTGCTTGTCTCTATACATATGTAAGAATATTATTGATATGTGCATTGCGATTAAGGTAAGGACGTAATACCAGAAAGCGGTGACGGAAGGAAAATCGCTGGTGGAGGCCATGATGCAGAGGGAAACGACAGCGAAAGCGAACTGGCAGAGACGTAAAGCAAGGCCACCTGGCGTACCAGGCATGCCTTGGACGTTCTTCATCCTCACTCTCAGAGGATTATTGGCTCCATCGGTCATCGGAGGAGCCTCCACCGGGTGCACCGCCGGCCGGCTCATATTCATCGAAACTTGGGCAGCCAAACTCCGATTCAGTCCCACAAATGACGCTCAAATTCACATTTGTATAATCACATAAAAGCTCATGCGAAAGTTTACAATGAATATAAACACCGATTCAGCTATACAAGAATGAGATTCGATNAAAGAAACAACAAACAATGATATAAGTTCTTGAAGAGCACCATTAATATGAACCGGGTATCTCCATATAACCAATGAGCTAAAATCAAATAAGAACGATCTACAAGTCACTGAGTTTGCAGATAGATGGACTTCGCTGAATAAAGTGATTAGGGGCTACAATCGAAACTTGAAATAGAAAGAGAAACACCCTTAAAACTACATTTTTCTTATGATATAGACAGCTTGACCACAACCAGATTAAAATACGTTGCGTATACAGAACCCTTTAACAGAAATATTACTTTGAGAAAGAAAGATAAGTAGTGCCTTAAGGGCCCTTTACTTTTGAATTTCTACTGAATTCATTAAATTTTCGACAATTAATTAACTAAGCCTACTTTTATAAGCTTGCTATTAGGTTACTCTTTCCTACAAAGAAAGTCGACAGTGGTAATAGAGCCCATGATGTGGCACTAGCTAAATGGCATCTAAAGCATGCACTGAATAGGTGGCTCATGGAACAGAATTGATATCTCCTAGTACATTTCAGAAAGGCACAACTGTCTGAAGAAAGATTCACCGTCATATCTGGTATTGAGCACTAAAGGTACTACCACTCCACCCTCACTCAATATGTGTGTCACTAGATGACACTAATACAACAGAAGATTCATATGTTTTCCAAATACCAATGTCATTCAAAACAATGAAAAATGCCAATACTAACTAAACTAGTGTTAGCAATATTTTCAATTTAATCAGTTAACACCAAAATTCTATGATCCTTCTGCGAGCAAAAAGAAAAGGACTACGGAATATGCACTTATTGGCCAGACCAAATTAATACANTACTAACTAAACTAGTGTTAGCAATATTTTCAATTTAATCAGTTAACACCAAAATTCTATGATCCTTCTGCGAGCAAAAAGAAAAGGACTACGGAATATGCACTTATTGGCCAGACCAAATTAATACATGTGCTCTTGGAAACATAGTTCTTGCTTAAACTACTTCATTCCCCATCAAACAAACAAAAAAAACACATAGTTCTTGCTTAACTACTTCATTCCCCATCAAAAAAAAAAAAAAACACATAGTTCTTGCTTATTGATGCGAGTCAATTCCAAATTTTTACAACAAACTGCAGCAAGAAGAGCTTTGCGATTCAATTACACTTTTTTCCTTTTTCATAAGTTCTGCAACCCTATTCAACTTTTTTTTTTTTGTCGAAAAGACTCAAAACTACTTTCTCTAAGTGAAGGTGTTTTACCAATGAACAAATAAATAATTCATAAAAATAATGGAGAATTGAAAACAATTAATTCATCCAACCCTAGCTAGATCCCTTGGTCTCTTGTTTTTATTTATGATAAAAGACACCACAGTATGTGTACTCCTTGGTTTGATTTCTCTGTATTCAAGGTCTAACAAAAATTGAAGGCTTAGAGGAAAATATAACCATTATAGAACATAATGGGAAAATAGGATTCATGTAACCGATACTAAATAATTGAAGTAAAACCTTCGTTAATTTTAGTTATTACGATAGAATTCCTTTTATAGTTTGCAGTTCTTTTCGGATTTGTGTCACACTCAGCTCCACTCATCTCTTAATTTTCCTTCATTTTCTCTGTTCTTATTGTCCTTGCACTCAAATAAGAAATTACAGAGTTCCATCTCTCAAAAGCTTGATTAACTGGTGCAACACAAACACAAAAGTGCTTGTCTCTATACATATGTAAGAATATTATTGATATGTGCATTGCGATTAAGGTAAGGACGTAATACCAGAAAGCGGTGACGGAAGGAAAATCGCTGGTGGAGGCCATGATGCAGAGGGAAACGACAGCGAAAGCGAACTGGCAGAGACGTAAAGCAAGGCCACCTGGCGTACCAGGCATGCCTTGGACGTTCTTCATCCTCACTCTCAGAGGATTATTGGCTCCATCGGTCATCGGAGGAGCCTCCACCGGGTGCACCGCCGGCCGGCTCATATTCATCGAAACTTGGGCAGCCAAACTCCGATTCAGTCCCACAAATGACGCTCAAATTCACATTTGTATAATCACATAAAAGCTCATGCGAAAGTTTACAATGAATATAAACACCGATTCAGCTATACAAGAATGAGATTCGATTGGTCCAAGATCGAACAAGAGTGAGGAATTGAATGGTTTTTCAGCGTTTGGTAGGAAGGAAAAGCAAAGAGAGGGAAAAGCCAAGAGAAAAGGAGTGACAGAGAGCTCAGTGGGCGATTGTTCGGTTCTCATTGGTCATCGCTCATCAGTAGCGTGCCGTGTCTCAACACTAATGCAATTGGAGATAATTAAACGACATAATTTGCCACCAATAAAATGAAAATAAAATATATTTAATGTTGGACTTTATTATAGTATTAAATAAATTTATTATTATATTATTAATAACAATTCATTATATCTCTAAATTATGTCCATAAATTATAACTCAATAGCATTACTCATGTCTCAAAACGTCCGCAATTGGGGGCACAAGAATGGGGCCCATCATATTTCCAGTATTTAAATTTCTGAAATACAATATAAACATAATAATTTAGGGTAAATTTTATCCACACTCCTATAATTAAATTTAAATTCAATAACACACTCTAAAATTTGACTCCACCTCCTTCCAAATTGTATTGAATCACTAGCAACTCTTATCGATAACTTCAGTATTTGACAATAAAAAAGTGAACGATTTGATTAAATATTATTTTAAAGTGTCGAACTTACCCTCTATTATGTTAATAAACTAAAATACCTTGGGTTAGCACTTTATAAAGTTTAGTTTTTATTTTTTATTTTTGGCTAAGTAGGAAAATACATTTTATAACTATTGAAATTATTTTTGATATAAAATAAAATCATTCAACATAATAAAAGTCAAAAAATGCATACAAACAAAAAAAAATAAAAAAAAATTAATTTTAACATTTTACCAAAAAAAATTATGCTAATTATAGTCATTTTCAATTGATCCTAATAATTTTTTTTATCATTTTAAAGTTGTTGTATGATCACTTTGTTATAAATACTATTGAAAATATATATATTCATATTAGTCTACATAATCGAGTTTTTATAATTTTTATAGTTAAAAATACTTTCTCTACAATAAAAATTACAATTGATAAAATCAATGTCAATGTTCCTCCCATTTCCAATACTTTTGCCTCCGTCTATCCTCCACACCTGGCCACTCTTCATACATCACTTTTCACGTATCAAATTGAAAATATTATTTGATAAATTTAATGTTAATTGAATAAATTTAGTCTTAATTTAACAAATTTAAATATTAATTTAGTGTTAATTTAATAATATTAAATATTAATTTAGTATTAATTTGATAAAAATTAATATTCACTGAATAAGTTTGAATGTTGTTTTGATGAAATTTAATGTTAATTTAGTGTTAAATTAAAGAAATGGTATTAATTTGATAAGATTAAATGTTAAATTGATAAAATTGAATGTTAATTTAATGTTGATTTGATGAAATTAAATAATAATTTACGGTAAAATTAAAGAAATAATATTAATTTCATGAAATAAAATATTAAATTAATGTAACTGAATGTTAATTATCAATTTGATTAAATTAAATATCAATTTTGTATTGATTTGATGAGATTGAATGCTAATTTAGTTTAAATTAAAGAAAACATATTAATTTGATATAATTACACATAAAATTGATGAACTTGAATGTTAATATAATAGAACTAAATAGAATGCAATGAAATTTTAGAATCAAGAAGATGAGTCGTTGAAGTTAGGCCAGTGTTATGGAGGGCGTAGATAAAATTTATTCTATAAATACTAAGGGGTATTTTTCTAAAATAATGCTCGTCGTTAACCCGGTAAGCAGACAACAATTGATATGAAAATGTCAGTGAAATTTTAAAATCAGAAGGGCCTATTATAGAATTTAGACCTAACTATAAGGGATGTGAATGAAATTTACCTAATAATGTAAGATGGAATCTCATTTTGCACTCCAAAAATTTTAAGACTTTTTACTTTATATGTCAAAGATTACAATTTTCAAATTACACCCTCAATATATTAAAAATATTGTAATGTAGTTGTTCCATTAACTTATGTTGTTTCTTTTGTCAAAACCATTACATTTACTTTGACAAAATGAATAAAATAAACTAATGCAAGGGCTAACTTATAACATTTATAATACATTTAGAGTGTAATGTGAAAAAAATTAATCTTTGAAGATATAAACTAAATTTTTTTAAATCTTCTAGGGTATAAAGTATAATTTGTCTTAATTTTAATACAATCTTTGAAGATATAAAATAAATTTTTTTAAATATTTTAGGGTACAAAGTATAATTTGCCTTAATTTTAATACATATTATTGATAAACTTATTTAATTAATATTATTTTACAAAAAAAATGTCCGCCTTTTCATTTCCTAATATTTGTATGGGCCCAATTTGGACAAGGACGAACAGCCCAAGAGTGGTCATGCTTTAGCCTGCAAAGTTATTGGCCCATCGTGGCCCATTCCAATGTCAATTCGGACTTTTCACAGTTCTGGATTTCAAATTGAGAAGTCCCACTATCAAAATTTGGACATTTCGATGGGGTCTAGTTGCTGTCTCTTCACCCTTGCATTTATGTAACTAATAGAGATGAATCGTAAATTTAGATATTTTAAATTTAATAATAATTTTTTTATGAATTTCATAATTTCAATGTAGATAATTTGTTTTTAATTTGACTAAAGAAAAAATTAATCAAAGTATACTTAAATTGATTCGACCACTCCAATAGTAATACAAAAAACAGAAAAAAAGAGAAAAATGTGGATGGACCTGAAGCAATCTGGTGGAGACCGCCTCACAGCCACGTCAGAGTATGAGACCTCACCAAAGCCTCACCCCCAACCCCACTGGGTGTCAAAATGGGCTCCACCAGTTTAAATCAAATTTTAGTCATTTATCACTATTTTTTTTTGATAATACTATTATTTTTTTGGGGTGTAATTTGGGAAGGTTGAAGAGTCAATTCTAACCTAACTTTAAGTGTAAAATTTTTAGCCCTAACTTGACTTCAACTCAAGATACTCAACCTGAGTATTGTTCGGGTTAATTTCGAACAAGCTTGGGTTAAAATAGGGCTATTAAATTTGGGCTCAACAAATAATAATCCTAAATTAAGTTTGAACATTTTCATAATGTTAAACTATTATATAGGTCTACATGACCCATTAAGATGAAACTCATCAAGAAAACTTATTAAGGGTGTAAGGGTGAGCTTTTTTTATATATGAAAGAGGGGAGAGGTCATTTGAGTTGATTATCCGATGTGGGATGACAACTCCTTATCTTTATTTTGCCTTTTTTACTTATCCCACATTGGTTGTATAAACGTCTTTCACCATCTATAGTCCTTATAAATTTTGTTTCACTATCTCTTTCTATAATATTACTATTAATTACAAATATATGTATTTATATTTTTATATCATTTATATAAATATAGTACATGTATTCGGGTTAAACCCGTGAACCCGAGTCTTCTTTGAATTCAATCCAGGTTGAAACTTTTCAATCCTAATCCTCAAAACCTCAACTCTAATAACCCACTCAAATTATCTGATTATTAATAGTAAAAATTGAAGGTGAGTCCGCCTAGATGGACTTATAATGACTTGAGTCTTAGAAGGAAACTTATTTGGGGTAAGTTCATGTTTAAACTTATATGTAAGTATTTAAGTTCACTTATTTTTTAAATCTCAAAATTACTCCTAATGGTGTTAGTTTTGTCTAGTTATGGAAAGTCACATAGGTTAGATCATTGAGGTATATATGGAAATCCTTGATATATATGGAAGTTATGTATTCTGGTAGTTACATATGGTAGCTTGATATATAAATAAATCGTTGGTCTATTAAGTCAAAATCCAATTACAAAATTTCCTAAACAATTCAAAATTTCCTTAACATTAGTGTTACTATAGTGATACAAATGAGATTTTTTTCCTTAAAATACTTAATATCCAAAATGAAGAATTCCACCATTTCAAATATTAACACAAACCTGACCCCAATTTTGATTTTACTCTTTAAGTTTATTGTAGAATCCATTGACAAAGTTATAGTTTATTTTTTTGCATTCAAAACATCTTCACAACTTTGAGATTCAGAAATAGAGTTGAGGTATGTGATTTTATATGAAAGTTGATATTCATTGTAGGGTTTTAAAAAACTTCTAAATAATATATAGTTCAAACTATCCTTTTTTTTTTTTTTTTGCATTCCTAATTTAAAATTTGAGATTCATTATTATTAAATTAAAGTGTTATATAATTTGATTTTTTTGTTTTATTTGTTGTACAGGACATTCGAAATACCTTGATTGTGTGTCTGTGAAATAGATCATGTTACTGTATGATAATTGAAAAATGGATTTCAGAATTTTGATGTCTTGATGTTCTTGATTGATGTTGAGTGTCCTAATTCAACTGTCAACGGTATTTTACTACTAGAAATTTGTAAAATTTTAATTTGTGGATCATATTTTCACTATAATATTTTGAAAATTGATGTTACTGTGAAAATTCTATTGCTTTGTATTTTGTAAAAGTTGATGTGTTACTGAGCACAAACCTTTGATATTACTGTGAAAATTAAATGTGTATGTTACATAATATACGTTTAAAGGTTTACAATTGGTAGTGTAAGTGAAAATTGGGGTTGAGTTTGTGTCACTCTTTGAAATGGTGAAATTCTTCATTTTGGGTATTGAGTATTTTAAGGAAAACAATCTCGTTCGTGTCACTATAGTAACATTCGTGTCATTATAGTAAAATTAGTGTCATTATAGCAACACTAATGTTAAGGAAATTTTGAATNCACTCTTTGAAATGGTAAAATTCTTCATTTTGGGTATTGAGTATTTTAAGGAAAACAATCTCGTTCGTGTCACTATAGTAACATTCGTGTCATTATAGTAAAATTAGTGTCACTATAGCAACACTAANTTAGTGTCATTATAGCAACACTAATGTTAAGGAAATTTTGAATTGTTAAGGAAATTTTGTGATCTGATTTTGACTTAATAGATCAACTATTTATTCGTATATCAAGCTTCCATATATAACTATTAAAATATATAACTTCCATATAAAATTTTCGTTAATTATCATAATATTTAATAAACGGTTTTCTTATATGACTCAATCAAGGGTTTTCATATATATCTCAATGATCTAACCTATGTGAAGGAGACGGTAAGTG